TCATGACAACGGCAGGGTATTTTTCGTCGGCTGTTGTTGCTTGGACATTGGAACTGCAATGGAAAGTAATCAGCGGGGCAGCCGAAGCGCTGTGACGACGATGATTGGATTTCGACCACTGTGGGCAGCTCTACTAATGGCGGCGACTGCATGTCGTGTCTGCAGCCTCGTTGGTATTGACGGCGGCTGCGGGCGACTGCCGCTGGCGTCGTCGACAAAACGGTACCTGAGCTGGGCAGGGTTGGCAATCTGGACGAGGGACCGCGAGAACGGATCAGATTGCGGAGGCACAAAGTCAAAGGTTAAGGGACGAATGAAGTGAAGCGCGATTGGGATCGGGGGTCGCGATGGGATGGATGGGCATGACGTAAGTTCGGACACATTTCGACGGCGGGGACGGGGACGGGGACCCAGCGGGACGTGGGCGGATCTGCCGGCTGCTCCTTGTCCCGCACCACAACCTCATGTGCCATCCACCGTCCATCGACCGATGCAACGTCCCTGCGCTCTCGTGTGTGTCGCCGGCCTTTGCTCTCCTCTCCATGCGGGGTGCCACAGTGCTCCGCCGGCTGTCATTGACGGCCCTGCTGCACGCCAGGCGCAGCAACTCTACTCGCCCCGGGACCATCCTAGAGACTGTCCGATGCTAAGGCTCGTCCTTGTGGCTGCTCTGCGACAATCACCCTGCCGAGCGGTCGTTGAAACAGAGCAACCCTCTCCTCCAGACCGCGAACACCGAGAGCCGCGGGCTTGGTCAGGGCCAACTCTGTGTGCCCTTGCTTGCCTTCCGATTACAGTGCAACCTTTCTGAGACTGGAAGTCCGGCGCTCAATCTGACTGGCCCCTCAGCCGCATGTAGAAAACGCGCCATGTCGGAGGGCCCGATGTTGCGTGGCGAGCTGCAGAAGACGACTTTTTGCGGTGACACGGCCACGACGACGGCAGCGCCGCCGCCGCGCCTCCCGGCCAGCCCTCTCTCAGGTCTGCTGCCGTGTATTGCTTATGACATTCCCGAGCAAGAAACGCCCTGGTTGCTGGGATCTGTGTCCTAGGCTGCTGGGATCATTCAATTCTGGGCAAATTCCACCCGCCGCCTTGTCCAACCGCTCCTCGCTCTCCCATGTGCACGTTCCCCTCATCTATCCCCTCTTGCGCTTACCAGGATGACTCTTGACGGATAATATCCCCAAGTCTTATCATATTCCATAGCCGCAACCGCTGCGGCGCCCTCTCAAAGCACCCTTCGCCCATCCATCAAACCTCCATCGGGCGGTCCGCGATGACACCCGTGTCGCGGTGGTCCTCATCGTCTTCATCCGACATGGAATTCTTCCACCATCGCTACCGCCATGTGATGCCACTCTCTGACGACAGCTCGGATTTGCTCGAACCTCCTTCAAGTTCAGGACGGGACTCGAACGACACCCACAGTACCGCGCCAACTAGCCATCCGAGTTGTCGATCGAATGAGTGTAATGGTCACAATCACGTCCGGTTTGAGGAGAACACGCAAGAGTTTGACTATGACGACTACTTCAACAAATTTCGCGAAGACGTAAACGTGTCCGTTGACTGTCCTGGCCGGAGCTTTCTCGAAACCGTTAGCCAGATTCCCGTATACGACAAAGACAACAAGCCCAGATCATTTGGAAGCCTTTGGAGTGGACCTACAGCAATAGGTGAAAGACAATTGATTATATTCGTACGACATTTCTACTGCGGTGTGGGTTGGCCCTCTCTGACTCCATTCATGCATCTTCTAACTCTGACAAGGCATGTCAAGCCTATTTGAAAGCCTTGACCAAAACCATTACTCCACAGTCATACTTCACTATGCCGATTCCGACATCAATCACCGTCATCGGCTGTGGAGGTACGAATATGATTACCCCGTACAAAGAGTACACTGGTTGTCCTTTTCCCATATATGCCGACCCCACACGAGCGCTGTACCACGCGCTTGGCATGTCCTGGACTATGGACTTTGGAAACAAGCGACCAGACTACATGAAAGACATTTCAATTCCAAAGTGGATTTACGGTCAAATGGTCCAGGCCAACGAGCAGGTGTCAAAACAAGGCGTCAAGGCGGCCATGAAAAGCGGTCACTGGCTCCAGATTGGCGGAGAATTTCTCTTCGAAAACGAGGAGGTGATCTGGTGTAATCGCATGAAACACTTCCGGTATGCTTTGAGCACTGCGGGCCGTCTATGGTTTCTGCTAACCAAGTGAAGGGACCACGTCGAAATACATCGCCTGAAAGAGTTGTTGGAGATCGAGTAAATTTACGGAAATCGCTCATCAGTTCGCGACTGATGCGGCCACGCTCGGTCTCAGGCTCGACTACCTTACAGGCGCTTGCGGCTTAATACCTAGATCGTAGAGCCACATCGACAGCATTTCCACCGTGAAGCAAGGCTATTGTGTTGTTGCTTCTCAAAATCCTCCGAAACGACGGCCTTGCTCCTCGAGCGCTCAGCGACGCTGCATCATCAACCTGTTAGTCCGTTGAGTTGGAAGATGGACGAAGATACGAATTTGCGGAGCATCCCGCCAGTGGAGAATGCCGCAACGGCACCTCGATCACCAAAGTTGGAGGTGGAAGCGGCTCGAGACACCGGCTGTCGTCGAGCAACGCATTAAGGCATAGTCTCTCTACATAATATCATGCATCCGTAATTCGAGATGACTGCCGGAGCCATTGCGGAGGCTTACTGCGTCAGCCGGCGCCCGTCGACCCGGAGCAAGACAACTCTTGCTGTCCGTGTCATGATTATTTTGTGGCAATGAGCTCAATACCACTTGCAAGCCTTTCCTCTGTTTAGCATATTTGTAGACTAGTTGAATACCCTCGCTGTTTTGCAAATCACTTGTTTTTGAGTCTCGCTGGCATCATCTCACTTTGCATTGTACAGACTTCTGAAAACCTCCTTGTAACGACAGCGATGGCTGTTTGAACGGTGATGTCAACGGTCCAAACTGCGTTCTTCGATTCTTCGAGAGATCTTTTGTACTGCGCAGTGCAGCGGGTGTTGAATTCACCTTGGCCAGGCCGGCCCACGGCCAGAATCCTCCCGAGAATCGATTAAGCATACATGATACAAGCCTACAAGTCGCACCAGATGTCGCGGCGGGCGCGAGGGACCCTCCTGTAAATCATCCAGTCGCCACCGAATACTCCCTTCTCATTGGCCAATTGACGAAACTTCAAGCCCAATGCTTCAGAAAGCGAAACGAGATTTCAACCTCTTTGGTCGCGATCTCAATCAAGTCTTGGACGACGTCTCTTCTTCTCTAGACTTGCGCATTTTGAGCGCAGAGCAAAAGCAACTCCCAAGCAAATGCCGACTCAGACCCAAGCATTCAACGGACAACGTTTTCCCATTTACCAACCGGTCCAACGGTTGCGTTAAAGGCTTGAGAAGCTGACTGACTGACTCACACGCGGCCATGTCAAATTAGGCTATATTGACTATCCAGGGGATTGGAAGTTAAAGGGCTGAGATAAGAAGCCCGTCCAGCTTTCTTGAGTTACTCATCGACCTTGGCTCAACAGCGACGAGATGCCTTCGTCATGAGGCTCACAAAATTCTGGTCGTAGGGCTGTTCCGCCGTCAGTGCTCAGTGTATCAATATCGCATCTCGAAGATCGTCTGACCCCGTCGATGGTCAGTGTTTGCTTCAGGTTCCCGCCGCCACCGTACTGCACTGACGACGCCATCTCGCAGATTTTGAAACTTGCTCCTATTCGTCAGATTATCAACGAACGCGCAGCACGAGCAGACGCATTAAGCGCGAGCGTGGAAAATAACGGCGATGCCACCAAACAGGTCAACAATTCCGTCCAACGATTGCGACGCTTTTTTTTTTTCCTTGCAGCTTCCAGGAGCTGTAACAAACTCAAGCACACACATGTCCAAGCTCTGCTACTCGTTCAGCTCGAACCTGACCAGCCAGTGGCCTTGAAGTCAGCAATTTACACAACGGCCTGACAGTGTCCTCGTGCAGCATCCCAGCCCGGAGGCCCATGCCCCGAGACACTAGAACCGGGCCCCGTCGATCGCAAACCCCAGATTCGTCGCCGTCAGGTACGAGGCGCGGGAGCGCGCGCGCACGCGTGTCAGGCACCCCTGGACCATCCATCCCATCGACCCCTGCCGAGCTGGCCCAGGTATTGCTCACTGTCAGGCACCTTCAGCACAGGGACAACACAGTGTGTAGCAAGGCAGATAGCCCTTCTCCGCCAGCGCGGCCACGGCGGGCGCTCCGCGTCCTCCCGCCGCCGCCGCCGCAGCTGTCACAGCGCTTCTCGTCCAACCGCCCACCAACGCTCCATGCTCACGCTGACCCCACGCTGATTTGAGATCCCACGACCAGTCAGTAGTCAGCCAGTCAGTTGCGTCGACCCAAAAAAGGCAACATGCAATCAAACGCTTGCAGAAATCCCTAACCCAGCGCTCTCCCAACACTCCCCTCCAGCATTTCTTTTCGCATGCGCGCCGCCAATTGGAGCACGCGCTCACAGCACATCGTCAACCATCCATCTCGACGTTTCCCTTTTTGGGCCTAGCGGCAGAGACAAGGAGGTGGGATAACAAGAGGCCGCCTCGCCCGGCCGTTGCTCTCCCGTCGCCGCAATTTCCGCCTGCGCAAGGCTGCTCACCACCACCCCTGCGATCTTATCTGCCCCGGGCGTCGTATTTGCCTGCGTATTTGCCTGATTGCGATTGGACACGTCGTCCGCTCGCTGCAGCTTCTGAGGTGCAGTCCGAGCGCTTCGTGATTGGCTGGCGTTTTTGATGATGGTGTTTGGGGCGGTAGGTTTGCGGCAACGCGCATCCTCGAGTTGGCTGAGAAGAGCTGACGGGATGCTTCGAAGGCTCAGTCAGCTTCTGGTTATTTCAAACAGATTGTGGGGGCGACCCTGAGCTGCTGACGGACGGAGAAAGATCCAAGGTGCAATCCATAATGGCAATTGGCGACTACTATTCCCTAAGCTAGCCCGGCTGGCGCAATCGGTTAGCGCATCAGACTTTTAATCTGAGGGTTGCGAGTTCGAGTCTCGCGTTGGGCGGTTTCTTTTTGCTTTTTTACTCCTTTAACCCAACACATTGCGACAAAGGGCTCTTCTTTTTGTCGAACAAGACGTCTGGCTATGCGTGGGACTTTCAAGTGAAGCGACTAGTGTATGGGGAAGTTGGAGAGGAAAGAATGTCGCGACCGCGTCAAACATGCATGAAGACAAGAGCAAGACCAAAAGCACAGACATTTAGACGAGGAATATAGGAAACTCACCTCGTCACAACTCTTGGATAGACTTTGCTCATCGGAATATGCAATGCTTGCTTTGTTGGTCGTGGGTGCTGCATGTGTAAAGTGTTCGGGTTCTGTTGGCAAACAGCAATGCCAGAAGGCACCGCCTCCCCGCTCACCATCTATAGCCACATGGCTTCCTTCCTATTGTCGTACCAGCTTGAGCTGTCATTTACCAACCCTTTGCTTGTCCGATGAGGGACCGAAAGCGCGTCCGTGAAGGCCAACAGAGCAGAGTTTCGTACACTTCGCCCACGACGACAGAGGAAATTTCGTACGGCGGAAGAAATGCAAGAACTGAACTCTTCTAAGCCAAAACCATACCATGCGTGCGTATTGCTGTCGGTAGAGGAGCAGCAGGATCAAAACGCCCCCTGGCTTCTCCAGGTCCCCTGACTGTCTCCTCGTGCTGCTGTAATGTCATCACGGTCTTCTGGCAACAAAACACCAACACTAGGCGTCATGGCGGAGTGGTTATCGCGATAGACTAGAAATCTATTTCCTTCGGGAGCGCCAGTTCGAATCTGGTTGACGTCGAGAGCGGTGACTGACCTCCAGTAGGTCAGCTATCCAGTTAGGATTACCTTTTTTGGCTCTTTTGTCTCTCTGCCAACCGACTGCTCCACCATTTGATGGGTGGATTGGTCGTAGGAAAGACAGTGCGGGTCGCGAAGCGATTGGGGAGAACATCTGTCGTCCTGTGCGTTTTGGGCTTTGCGTTTGTCCGACGCTGTTGGTGGAGAGTGGAGACGCGTTCCAGGCAAGAGTGAACAGATTTTTCAGGGGCTTGACAAGGCCGACATTTTGCCGCTTTTTTGGGATGCCGGGGCGTTGGATGGTAGTAAAGAAGACGACTCGGTTGGTTGGCTGGAAGTTGTAAGATCGAAGCGAAGAGTCAAGGTCGGCCTGTTGAACGAACGATTGAAGGGTCTTGAACCGAGAAATCACTGTTTGAAAGTTGATCATGGAAATTGCTGCTGTGATGACAGATCAAATTTGCAAGTGCTGACTTCGTTCGGACGCGGCAGCGTTTGAAGCCTTTTCTCCTTTGTGAATCCCGCGTGTCATCAGAAGCCGTAGTCGGAGACGTCGTCGTCGTCAAAGTCGTGCATGCCCTCCTGCACGACCTTCTCAACTTCTGCAGCAGCCCTTCCTACCATGCCCCCTTCCTTTTTCGCAGACTTGAGCCCATTCTCAAGGGCCGGCCGTGCCAGCTTGGCAAAGGCGCGCTGCCGGCCATGGCGATCCGTATACATGCGATTGTCCTCATCCGGCGGCGCACCAAAAAGATTGAGGTGGTCGAAAGCATTTTGGGGCGTGTGCATGTGATGGTACGCTTGGTGAAGTGGGAAGCACTGTCGTCTGAGCCGGTCTGCCTCTTCCTTGGCGCGCTCCTTCTCTTCAGGGTCCTCGACAATACCAGTCCTCAAGAAGGTTGCTAGGGAAGTGAGCTGATGGGCACGCAGCTTTTTGAGTTTTTCAGAATCCGAGTGCGAGGCGCCGACGGTGCTGGCTGCAGTTGACCACTTTTGCGGCGCAGACGAAGAGACGGGCTCTCTGAAGCCAAGAGTCGAGTTGAAACATTTGAGAGTATGGACCCAACCGCCAGCACAAGACACGGTGTCTTCCGGGTGGCTTTTGAGCAGCCAGTCGAGGACGTCCAGGCTGGAAAGACGAATGTCCATGGATAGAGACGTCATGCCCGCGCGCGTGCGGAGAACAAGGTCCTCAACATACGGCTTGACATCGTTTGGAGGGAGAACTTGGAGCAGCTTGAGCAGCTGTTCTCGCACAGATTTGGCGTTGTCGTAGATGAGCGTCCCAGCCTTTGGGATGATTACTGAAACTGGTTGCGGGAGGGGTACATTTTGAGCGCGAGCGGTGTTTATGGCGCCGGTCAGATAGGCCAGAGCCTCGCGCCTTTGGGTGTCTGTCTTGTGCGACAACAGGCCCAGATAATGAGCGCACTCTGCTACAACGCCTTGCGGAGTCGTGTGGATCGACTGGCTTTTTACGACGATTGCTGTCCGAAATCAGTAAAGGCTTCACGGAAGTCTCTAACCACCATCTTCCCAGAAGAACTTGAGTGATCTTCGCTTCGTCACTTCTCCGGAATTGGATGGTCTCCAGGGTCATCCCAATTCCACACCCGTCCATGAAGCGACTTTTTGGAGAAGCGCTGGAACGCCTGTTTGAAGGTTTTTCGGGCAGCAGAAGAGAGAATGACTTACATTTGGCCTTGAAGCTTGTATCGGTAAAGTTATCAGCCTTCGGCTTCGCCTTGCCGACCTTCAGCTTTGGCTTCTGAAAGTCCTTTTGCTTTTCCTTCTTTTTCTTGGAGCTGGAACCCATGTTTTCAGCCGCTGTCGAGAAGCCTCTTCCTTCGTCTGATTCGGTAAGCGTTTGTTTGCTCCGGCAGCATCAGAGGCCTCAATTCTGCGCGAGACCGATCAACATCTGCACCTTAAGTGCCTGGCGGAGGACGTTGTCGAGGCTCGGCGCGCGCGTACTGCTGGACTTTTTGTCCCGCGCTTCAGCCCTACGGCCCGATTAGGAATGGCGTCCGCGACCGCGGCTCACCGCCTTCTGTTGTACTTCCAGAGCTTGAAGCTCTACTTAATCAACAAACAAATTGTCAAGCTTCATTCCCTTCTTTCGGACCCGCGTCTGATTTGTGAATCCAAATCCCGCAATGACCCAAATAGTGGCAAGTATGACCTCGATTGTCATCATATTCAAAGCTAACCAAGCTCCAAACACCAGCCCTCCGAGACGCTGTCCCTCCTCACGCGGCTGAGCCAGAAACCCGGCGTGCAATCGACCCTTGTCCTCGAGCGTGAGACTGGCGCAATTGTACACACTTCTGGCTTCGCATCCTCGAATGCGGCTGCCAATCCTAACGCAACGCTTCCGCCTTCAACCACAGAAAACACGCCCGTAGGAGGAGGCATTGCCAACACCAGCGGAGGGCGCAAAGAAAGCGGAATCAAGAGCGCTGAGGACGTGGCCCGGATGGTTTACGGATTCATTCTGTCGGCCGGGACACTGGTGCGCGAGCTAGAGGAGGAGGACGAGGTCAAGCTGTTGCGGTTACGGACGCGCAAGAACGAGCTGGTTATTGTGCCTGGTAGGTCACCCTAATTGATGGGGACACCTGGCCCAAAAGCATTTGGAGCCGGAGGAGCATGGGTGGCTGACGAGACACTGTGATCACAGACACCCGTTTCATGATTGTCGTCATCCACGATACACCCCCAGCGGCGTAGCCAGGCAGCCTCTGTTCAGTTGGGCCGGACAGTTTATGAGCGGTCACCAAGATACCCCCTTGCACGGATGTACGGCGTTACGGAGTCACTACATCTACAACCTAATTCTACGCAGCAAATGAATGCGAGCGATTTGCGCATTTGGAACAACGTCCATCCTCACCAATGCTCCTCGCCAATGCTAACACTATTAACGTCAACGCCCTCCTTGAACCACCTCTCGCCCTCCGCAATCTCGACATCATTCCCACTCATCTGGCGCTTTTCCATGCGCCCGTCCGCCGCGAACGTCCAATCCTCCAGCCCGTAGCACCGCTTCCACTTCATCCCGTCGTCCTTGTCCTGATACTCGTACCAGAACTGCACGGCAATCTTGTTTCCGGTGAAGGCGAAGAGCTCCTTGCGCAGGCGGTAGTTGTGCTCGCGAGCCCACTTTGCAGATAAGAAGGCGTGGATGGCGTCGTGGCCGCGCACAAAGGACGACCGGTTGCGCCAGACGGAATCGGGCGTGTAGGCTTGCACGACAGCTGAGGGGTCGCTGGGATGTGTGAGATGGAGTCAATGGACACAGTGGGATCAGGCAGGGATGTCGATGTGTCGTTGTTTGCATGGCGGCGGAGGGACGAGAAATGGAAGGCAAGAATAAAGAGACATTGGAGTTGTCAGGCAATGAAACGTAGGAAACAGTATCGCCGTACCGCGTATTCCACAGGTCCTGCGCCTTCTTGACCTTGGCCTGTGCCGTCTCCTGCGTGAACGGCGGAGCCAGCGACATGGTGACGACCAACAGTGCGAACAATACAAGGGACTCTTGCCAACGCATCGAGAAATGGCGAGGCCAAGCAGATGGACGCAAAGGGTTGTGGCAATGGACGCTTTGTTGGTGTTTGATATGACAGTCGAGATGACGGCCGTGGGAGATGCAAAGATGACTGTTCAGTGCACAGGCTACATGTAGGTAGTCAGCCGGCGCCAGATCGCTTTTGGAAGCTGCGTGTTACTGCCTTGTGATGTAATGCCGTGAACGAACGCTGTGGTTCGCTTGTGCGCGCGTCGGTCAGGCCGACTGTGGGGAACGAGGGGCCTGGACTTTTTGGTCGTTTGCCCCACATTGCTTCTCTCTTGGATTGTGGTCTTGATGGGGGCTGACTGGCATTGGTCTGTTTTGTTTTGTCTATCGTGACGGATGTGCATTCACTTGTTTCACTGGGAACGTCTAATACACTTGTTCTGCGAGCAGCTATCTCTGGAGCAAATTTCTGTACAGCCTGTATGTTCAAAGAATAAACGGAATGTACGGTCATAAAGTCCATTACAGCAGCCGATCACTGGCTGCTTATTTCTCCAACCCCCGCTCCTTATAGAATTCATGCATCTCTGACCTGGCCTTGAACCACAGCGCTCTCAAGATCTCTGGCGGTCCTTTCATGCCCAGCTTCTCATGCAGGCTCTTTACTCCCGCCGCCAAATCGGCCTCACTCGGCCACGTCGCGCT